AGGGTTCTTTAGACCGTAAGCACTTAAAAACAAGCACATGGTATTTGTTTCTTGGTATATTCAGCTAACAGTGCTGGCATTAAAAAGCCACGTTACCTTTCAGAGTCCCAGGTGGGATACAGCTTGATCTGCAGTCTATGGCTAGTTGAGTTAACGTCACTCTCTACCAAGTGTATCTTACATCCAACTTTGCTCTTTAGCAGATTCGCCTCTTAGTAATATTACATAATATTAAAGGATCGAATTAGTTCAATAAAAAATTAATATGCCTACACATCTACTTGTAAGTGCCCGTGACTCTCCTTGGTAGTACAGCTGCACGACTGGAGTTCAGCAGTATTTCACACAGAAATTGTGCAGAACTATTACACTGAACTGCAAGAATTCCTCATCGTTTTACCCTTCACTCCTAAAATGTCTGTCCTTTCCCACTCAGCGCGCACACACACGTGCAGTCAGTCCCCAAGGGGAACACGAACAGGTCCAGCTGCACAGCTGTTCGAGTCTCCACACCTTTGCTCTGGATTATGTGACACTGTTCCCTAACCAGAGTGCCCTACCCCAGACCTGGTGCACTGAAAAAAATACACCTCTCGGGCTCAACCACAAGTTCTAATGTTAGAGAAATCTATGTGAAAACCCAGCATTCTTACTTTCTAGCAGTATATCTCCGGGTAAGTTATTTAAAAATCCAGGGTCTCTTTTTATATTTCTTCAAAGGAGGGGGAAAAAAATCACCTATGCAGGGCTGGGGATTTAGCTCAGAGGTTCAGTGGCCTGCCTTGCAAGAGCAAGGACCGGGAGTTCAATCCCTGGTACAAAAAAAAAAAATCACCTATGTTGCAGATTTTTGGGACCAATTGGAGAAAATGCAGATAAAGCACTGCACATACATAAATATACACAAAACAGTGACTGACACATAGGGCAGCAAATAAGTAACAGTTACCTTTGTTGTATTATTGTTTAGATAGTTCTGAAACACAACTCAGCCAGAGAATGTGGAACTCAAACTTGTAAGTGCTTATTTCGGAGGTAACTGAAGAAAATATTTCACACTGAAAAAATCCCTTTGACTCGAACATCTTCATGAAGTTTATTTGTTAGCTCCAACATCGGAAGGCAGCCCCAAATGTCAAACATACTCGGAAGAAATTAGGCATGTTTGTCCCCCGCTCTCAAGAAACTTACATTTTAGAGAAGCTAGACATTAAACAACCAATTACACAGCTATTGAATTACCACTGTGATCAGTGAGGTGAAGGAACTGCTAAAGCAGAAGTGAACTGACTGGACCGGAACGGGCCTCTGCAGCGTCCCTGCCTGGTGCTCCAATCGTCCCTCTTAGAGCAAGCCCAATCCATGCCTTTTAACAGGCTTGAGCTGCTTGTTTTTTTAAAGAAAAAAATAAGTAATTAACCTGACCCTGGCCATTTTTATGTTTAGAACTATAGAGTGAAATTTTAGAAACTGTCAAACGTACAAATTAATTCCCAATATTTTATACAGTACAAATTAATTCCCAATATTTTATACAGTGATTTCTAACACTGGTGCCCGCGGGGGCCAGCTCTGCACTATGAACTCACATGAGAAAACACATTTCTTGGCAGATTTTTAAAAAACACTTTTATTTCATGTGCATGCCATTATTCATAATGATGACATTTTCAGTATTTTATTACTGTATGTTACTTAATAGCTGAAAAACAAATTTTCTTAAAAGATCAGAACAGTTCCGATTTGGGGGAGTACTGGGGATTAAACACAGGCCTTTACAAAGAGCTACAGCCAATCCTTTATTTTTTTTACTTTGAGACACATTCTAAGTTGCTAAATACCCCAGCTGGGCTCCAACTTGTGATTCTCCTGCCTCAGTCTCCCAGAGAGCTGGGGTGACAGGCGCGCCCCACCACGCCTAGGAAAAAGACTCGTTTTACAGAATGCCTTTATTTGGTTCACATTACTCATTACTGAAAAACAGATTATTTCTATGGCTTTTTAAGATCAGAACAATTTTGATTTGCTTACTAGGAGCGAATTTCTCACCACTCAGCTACTATTAAAATCTGCCACCTTAAAGAATCGACAACGAAATTCTGTTGACATCCTTTGAAGAGAACTTCAAGATCCCTATCTTCGGAAATGAGTAGCTCATGCAGAAAAGCAAGTAAATAAGAGGGAAACCTGGGTGATCAGACCAACTCTCCTACCAAAATGAAACTAAGTTTACTCTAGGAAGTAGAAGCTCCCCCTCCACGCTTGTCTTAGATTCCAAAATTTAATGCAGAAACTGTCAACCCGGAAGAGTCCCTGCGACCCCCCAAAAGCGGCCTCTCCCCCTAAATTTAGTTAATCAGGCAGCTAGGCAAGAATTTCAGCCGCAGGTTGTAATGAGTGAAGAAAGATACTCAGGTCAAATAGCACCATCTAGCAGAACCCTCAACAGTTTGCCCAGGAAACTGGACGTCAGGGCTCAGGGTGGTAGATGTGACAGCAAAGAGCAGCAGGTATTTTCACGGGAGCATCACAGAACCAGAGCTAGAACGCGCCCCATGCACCGAGTCAACTCCCTCGTTAGCATCTCAGCAGCTAAAAAAAATACGATGTTTTACCAAGTCATCAGGCTATGGATTATATTCAGCCAAAGTTCACCCACTGCAGGGAGTCCAAGTCATATCCAAAATGACTCTGATTCTCCAATCAGCTATTCCCAAAGTAAGTTAAGGTTAGGCTTCAACTACATTTCAACCCCTTCACCCTCAGTAATTGAAAACCCAAATATTCTGTAGTCACTAGAACATCCCCGTTCGTCCGACAGATGCCAGCCAAAAGATAAATGCATACGAATGAGTCTGTATTTCAAAACTTCAGACCCAGCCGCTGCCGCTTCCTCCCGGGCACCCACGCTGTCTGTCTCACATTCCTTGCTACTGCGACTACGAGACCCCGCGCAGCTCCTCTCCGGGGAGCGGGAAGCCAGCAGCAGCATCTCGGCTAGTTTGGCGGTGGAGGTGCTCGCTCCGTCCAGGCCTACCACCTGGGGTCCCACGGGATAAGGACACGCTCCCGTCCCCGGGGCACAGAAACTTTGGGGAGCCCTGGGCGCCCAGCGGGAGGGAGCTCGCCGCGCCCCGCGCACAAGTCCCCGGGCGCCA